ACCCCTTGAAACAAAAATTGATACTATGTGTTTATTATGGTCCATTCTTCCTCGACGAACAAGTACATAAGTGACAATATAGTCAAAGACGAGAAAACTGCACAAGAAATTTGCCTTATTTACACGTATCGGCAATGCAAGCTGCCATGCGACTTCCCCTTCTGACGTCACAAGGGGAATTTCTGTATGCGAATGAGAAGCTAATGAGGAGCCTCGTTTTAAAATACACAAAAATAAAGTTGCTGTAGACTGAGTTTAAAACACATTTTTTTCACTTAATAAAAATAATTCATGCTTAGAAACATAAAAATTAATAATATTTATGTATCAATTGATAATTTTAGGCGTGAAAATAGCAGCCATTTCACAGGCACTTTAAACTATAGAGATACTATTTATGTGACCGTTAAAAATATTCAAAAATCTTCGAAAATCCAACAAGAGGAGTCGGGTTACTCACCGTCCGGTGTTGAGGGACGGTGGGTTACTGTACTGTTGTTCAAAATTCTGAAATAAAAAATATGTGGTCACCGAACTAAGTTTTCCACAAAACGATCTCGAAAATTGATCACGTTTTTTTTGAATAGTTTATAATTGGTTCCTATGGCAAAAACATTCCATCATATCTCACAATTGTTATAGTGTTATGAGGGCTACATATCGGCGGTCATAAAAACGTAAACAAATCTCCGGGTACGGTCGGAAATTTTCGGAAGAAGGCGCGAGAAATAAAGCGAATTTTCACGCTTTCAACTTAGCTGGAAAGATTTTAACATATGTCATTGAAAGCAGTGCAACTTCAATATGAGTGTAAGTTATTCATAGAATAATGTGTTTACATATGGAATGCTATGGAAAATGTTTCAAAATGGCCGCTTTTTAGCTTATTTTGCATCTGTTTTCTTCTTTTCCTTGAAAACACATTCTTCTTTCTTTGTAAGAACTTCAAATATAAATGACGTACATGTATGTGAATCATCAAACAACAGTTTTGAATGATTTAATGTGATACATTTTTTCCATGTTTTAATGGTAGCGAACTACCTTAACAATTTAAATCCATGATGGAGACCTTCCCCCGACTCTTTGGCAAAAAATCCACCAACATCGCGTTGTGTCGTCACAGGAAGCGCTGTCTCAGTTTCTAATAGTCAACCGTAGTTATGTTATTTTAAAGTCACGTGATACTATGACTGAACAAGGAGCGTCCCGAGAAAAGTTAGGTGACTCATGCGCATTTCGGCTATAATCGGATAACTTCGGCAAAGAAACGTCATTTTTACCGGAAGGGCGGCTTATTTCCGATTCAAAATGGCGGCTGAAGTGGAGCGAAATGCTGTAAGTAGCGAAGTTTTCATGCTTTTCCTATCATATTTACCACATTTTCCCACTGTTGTTACGTCTTTCGGACAATAAACAGAATATGTACATCCACTGCTGAGTATAGGTAGAAATAATATTTATTTTTATCCTCACTAACAAAATCTCGTCTTGGACGTATTATTAAATCTGCAGACAAAAAGGTTCACACTCAAGTCAATATTGTAATGTAATATTGACTGTTTAAAACATGAAGTTGTTACTATCGGCATATAATAATTACTTATTTTACTTTCAATGTGCTTTGTTGCACCATTAATAATAACCTCAGTTCATAGTGACGTTTTTAATATTCGCACGTTGTTTAGTGATTTAAAAATAACATTAAAAAGTTGACAGATGTTACGATAATAATATTGCCGAACAAAAAATGCTGGCTCAGATGATGCTAGCAATGGTTGGCCGCGAGTCAACTATTAAATGTTTTCGTTGATATTATTTTATTACACTGTAAATATAAATTTAGACATTGTGAGAAAATTATAGTTGTGTCTTCTTTTCTGATGTACATTTATTTCTTCTCAAAGTATTTTGAAAATGACAATTTCAACAATATTTCCATAGTTTTAATAATTTAGTGCATTGCATCTACAACAGTGTTTTAGAATTATAGATATAATATATATAATATACACAATATTTCTGACTCCACCCAAAATACATTATTATTCCATTATTAATTATTATAAATCATCACTATGAGAATTAGAGGTTTTTATAATGTCATTACTTTACATTACATGTATCATCTCTATTCATAAGTAAATTCATTCCAGTAAAAAGCCTTCAAATTTAATTGAATTTGTTTAATTTTGTTGCTTGTGATTTATAACAATGTGAGAAATCGTCTCTAAAAATCTTCAGAGAAGGGTCTTACCTTGCTGTACATGTAAACCTTTCTTGTCATATTGTGCTGTTGGGGATTTATTATTGTTTAAACAGTTAAAAATGTGTTATTATTCCATTATTCACCAACAGTTTGATGTTAAATTTTTAGTTTGAGATTTCCAAGTTAACACGCCTTCTGCAATTTACTTCAATATTGTTATTCTGTCTTCCTGTCACAAAATGTGTCACTGAATCAGGATGTCAGAAAGGAAGACGTGCATGCTGTGTTTACTCAAGTACAGTATAGTTGAATCATTACAAACATACAAACTTGGTAGTTGATACACGTATTACATTTATATAGTATTTTTGGCAGCTAGGGATGTCAAAATTGCTAACATCCAGTCGCAGTGTACACCAATGGCTAAATTTCAAACTGCTATAATTCGGCTTAGTCTTTTCCACGAAACGAAACGAAACGAAACCCAAACCCTAACCCTAACTCGCATTTTTGTTTTCATTGGCCCAATAATATCTGAGAAAATTTCACACTGTGAAATACGGACGTGACGATGTTTGAGGTCGTTCAAAATCTAAGGTTAGGGTTTCGTTTCGTTTCGTTTTATTTTGTTTCATTTCGTTTCGTGGAAAAGACTAAGCCCTATAATTCGCTTTAATTTGTGAGAGACAAGTGTCAGTGACTTTCAACTACTTTTGTAAGTAGCAAAAATTTCCCTGGGGTTCTATGACATGGCGAGTATCTGTGACACAAAAGAATGTCATTTAATGAATCAATTTGATGAGAAAACAGTTGTTCCTGCTCAAAAAAAAACAATAAGTTGTTCAGCAAATACTTTTAAATAAATAAATAAATAATTATTAATTATAATTTGATGGAATGTTTTTTTTAGGGTCCTAATACAAGGCATCTAAAGCTGCAAGGTCATGTTGGGTTTGATAGTCTTCCAGATCAGTTGGTCAATAAATCAGTTGCCCAGGGATTCTGCTTCAATATATTATGTGTTGGTAAGTATACTTACAGCTATGTTATATCATTCAATGATTTGACGTATGCCAAGTCACTCAGCTTAATGTAATTTACCTTATTTTTCTGTCAAATGCACATCTCTAATAAGAAGGGCACATACAGGAATAATTGCTTTTATTGTATGCTGAACTATTAAAATTTTACTCATGTTGACTATTGACACTAATGTCATATACATGCACTACTAATAAAGCAAATACAGATTAGAATTAAAAATGTACTTCTCAAAGTCCTTTTCTCCTACTTAAAATACTGATGGGGGAGGTGTGTGGTAATCGTCATGATTGAAAATGTGACCCAATTTTGGTTCCTGTGTAAATAATTTGTAGTAAACCACTATACAGGGTTCTTCACGGTTTGAAAATTAAACAGGGTGCGCCAATGTAAAGTGGGCGTGGCACATTCGTAACTTGCATCATTGGCATAGACATTGAAAAAATGGAAACCAAAAAATCTATTAATCTACATATTATTACATATGCATAATATATATATATTTATTATTACAAAATTAATGAGAATTTTGAAGAGCTATTATTAAGTAAATGTCAGCACGTACAATCAGCTGATTTTAGCTGCACGATTCATCACGCGGCGACATCAGTTGTTTACCAGTAATGATAACGTCAAAAAAAAGACGTAAAAGTTTTACCAAATAGATACATACATGCTTTATTTAATTTTTAGCAAAAATTGTAATTTATATTTATTTGGACATAGCAAACTAAATGATGTCGCACAAACGTTCGTAATTGGTTCATTGAAAAACTTGCATGAATGATCAAACAAAATAAAGTCTACACAATAGAAGATTTTTGATCTGCAGTTAACAGTTATTATCAAAAATAATAGAATTATGTATAAAAAAAATACATACTTAGAAGAAGAATTTTCATTCGTATCGAAAGTTTGTTGATGTCTGCTTTGTTAAAAACAGCAGTGATCCGGAAACAGTTCATTTTACTGTGTGCATCCTGATATTATGTAACGATGCCTTTGATTGGCCAAAGCCACGCATTGACGTGAAAAACAACCAATCAGAATATTTGTTTCAAGAAAAGCACAAGTAAATTTATTTCCTCCACTTATGATGCGAGTTGAAAGGATGGCTGTTTTACCAGGGTTTTTAAATAGTGATTTAAAGAAAATTCAACTTTAAATAGTGACATTCGTCAAAATATAAACATTTACATGTTTAAGCAAGCATTCATGTGGACTTCTTGGTGATCAGCAATGTCTGTGATGGTACGTCGACTGCGCTGGTCGTTTACTGATCGTGCAAGAGCATGGCTGCCTTTGTTCCGCTCGGCGGTGACGATGTTGCTGCTACCAGTCACGACGTGAACTTGGTTTTAACCATAGATCTTATGTTTTAACGAATGGTTTTACCGATAAAGATTTTATATATTTGACTTCACCCTGGCAGTAAAAATATGGGTACGGTAATACACTTTTCTAGGCCACATGTTCATTTTTAATCGTGTAGAAAAAAACTTGCAACTTTTAGTTCGGTTGTAACATAGATGTACTAACAAGCCGGAATTTTCACACCTTAAAACAATGAACCAGTTACCCTGAGCACGATGAATCATCTTCGGAAGACAATGAGTGATGGCCTGTTTTGTAAACAATTCTTTGTCTGGGACCATGCAGGGCGCCAATTTCAGATAACAGGGCGCGGGGCCCTGTTAAAACCCCTCGTGGAGAACCCTGACTATAGTAAATTTAATTGCATAGATTCAATGAATCAAAGTTTTAAGTGGAATTCAAAATATAAAAATTTAGTAATGTGTCTGAAAAATTTTGTCTAATTTCAGTGCTTTAGAACATTAAATTGTGATGGATTCAGGTGCTATATGAAGACTTTATTACTTTTAATGCATGCTTCTACATAATGAAAAAAATGCAATGCAAACTATTTATTAGGCAATGAATTGACTTTTAGGTGAAACTGGTCTTGGAAAGTCCACTATGATGGATACACTATTTAACACAGAGTTTGAAAGTGACGCTGCACCCCACACATTGCCTGGTGTGAAACTGAGTGGCAAAACATATGGTAAGAATAGTGTCTTCAAGTAATACAAACCTTTGTTACCGATATACTGTAAATGCATTAATTTTTTTCACTATGGACACAAAATAAAAATAGATTGACACTAAGCTAGTGTGTAATTTTGATGACCCACCGAGAAATTTGTCACCGAACCTTGATAGAACACTGCTGACTAATGGTCTTTAATAGGTGTGTCAAGTAGAACAGTACAGTGATGGAATTGTTGACAAGTAAAAACCACATTACTATTTTATTGGCGCGATGGCTGTTGGTGTGTTGACTACTGTCAAATACTTTATTTTCGCTTGGAATTAATTTTTGCTGAAGGAATGATTCAGTGAAAATAAAATCTAGCTAATTTCCTATATTTTACACTAAACTGGTCAGAAATCAGTGAAAATAAATTCCACACAAAACACCCAAAAAGTCTTTTCAGCAAAAATGAATTCCAGCTAAAATAATTTCACAGTACATTAGTCTACTATCTATTTCAATGTACACTCACTCATCTTAATATTATATTACAGATCTTCAAGAAAGTAATGTCAGACTCAAGTTGACTGTTGTAGACACTGTTGGATTTGGGGATCAAATTAACAAGGCAGACAGGTATACCCTTTACCAGTGGATTTCTTTGATATATGCTAGAAAAAAAACTTGCACAATCTTTAGATCTGACCATTACCAAAACAACATTCAATACCTGCTAACAGTGTACCCTTGAAGTTGCACAGAACTATTATGTGACACAACTAGCTGTTTTGGTGCAACAATGATGCAACAGAAAATTTCACGTTGATATAGTAATCTTCAAAAACATCTTAGTAATGGAATTTGTAATTTTTTAATCTAATATTCAAATATGAACAAAATATGTGTAAAAAAATCTCAGGAAATTCTTCTTAAATACCTATCTCCCTAGCAGTCACTGTGGTGTCCCAACCTTTCGGAATTCCTTTGTCACTCAAGATCTATACAAAACCAGTCCTGCACATTGCCTAGTAAACTCGGCATTGTATACCTATTTTTCTTTTCCTTTGTTTGCAGCTACAAGTCAATCGTAGAATATATAGACCAACAATTTGAAAATTACCTGCAAGAAGAATTGAAAATCAAGAGAGCTATTCATTGTTACCATGACGCTCGTATCCATGCCTGTCTTTATTTTATTGCGCCTACTGGTCATTCATTGAAGTCTCTAGATTTAGTTACGATGAAGAAATTGGACAGTAAAGTCAATATCATCCCTGTCATTGCCAAAGCCGATACTGTATCTAAAGGAGAGTTACACAAGTTTAAAATAAAGGTTTGTGATAAAAATCAATTCTGCACGCTTTGGTACTTCATATGCTTTGTTGAACCTTTTCAGTTTTGTTGTCAACATTGGTTGACATCCACACAATAGTCAGACCCAGAGCAGTGTTTTGTTCTTGTAGCATGCAAGCAATAGCTGATTTATGTTCACTGCAAGGTTTCGCGTAATGCATAAACTGTGCAAAAATTAAATAATTTGATTAAGAACCTGAATTTTTTTCAATATCAAAATGCTAATTTATGGAAATATGCCATTGCGTTCCCCTTACTTCATAAAAATTGACTATCTGCAAATGTGTGTTGCACATTATTGATCTTGGAAATACCCCAAAAAGTAATTTTGTGTTTGTTGAATTCTATGCAATGTTTTGATGACTACAATGCTATGACCTTTGTCCTGGTTTTACATTTGATGTTCATGCACAGAATCTTACAGTAAACAGAAAATCTGCCTGATAGGGATTTGGATCATCATTTTGTGATTTAGTATGTAGTCAGGTGTCACCGATGACCAAAGCCTCTATCTTCTAATTTTGTGCAATAAAATTGACAGAATTTAGTTTAAATATTATTTTGTCACTTCATTCCAGATTATGAGTGAGTTAGTTAGTAATGGTGTACAGATTTATCAGTTTCCCACGGATGATGAGACAGTAGCTGAACTAAATTCAACAATGAATGTAAGTAGTCACTGTTTATCTCATTCATATTTTATTTTTTCCTCTCATCAATATAGTGCAAGATACTGAGCTATATAAGGTTATCATGAAATTATCGTAAATTATTATTATACATCTGACATAAAACAGTAAAATTCATCCATTCGTGAAACACTCTACAGACAAGTTCAATAATGTTGCGCATTTGAATGTTTTTCTTATTTGAAAAATGTTCATGTTTTTGTCACATTTCAACATGACACTGAGTGTCAGCAATTTTGCGAAATTTTGTTTTCACAGAATGTCCTAAAATTCTAAAATCATGAAAATTAAGGTGTTTACAGTGGACATGTATGTTGGTATTGTAGTTTACTCCCATTTTAAATTTTGGAATAAGTACAAATTGCAAATGTATTCAACAAATGACTGCTAAAGTCTATTGTTTTACTGGCTGGTTATCATGTGAATAAAGTTATGTTTTTGTACATTTAGGGTCATTTACCATTTGCTGTTGTTGGTAGCAATGAAGAAGTGAAGATTGGTAATAAAACCGTGCGAGCAAGACAGTATCCATGGGGTGTTGTACAAGGTAAGTAGGACATTAATCTGTAAAAATCTGTATTCACAGTATCAAACACCTACGCTGTGATATTAAACCTGTCATATGCTTGGCTTAGAATGTATGTTTTCTTTACAGTTGAAAATGAGTCACACTGTGACTTTGTTAAACTGCGCGAGATGCTGATACGCACAAATATGGAAGATTTGATTGAACAGACTCATGCACGTCATTATGAGCTTTACAGAAGATGTCGTCTTGAAGAGATGGGCTTTGTTGATAGTCATCCAGATGGTAAAGCATCAAGGTGAGTCAAGTATATTATTGTGTGTTGTTGTATAATAATGTGCTTAATGTAAAACGTTTTATTTTCGCTGCTATCAATTTTCGTGGGGTGATGATGATAGAATAAAAAGATCTCATGTCATAATGACCTAGATGAAACATTTACCTAAAATTTTGTAATTTCCTTGTCAAATTTGGATAGATAATCTTGCACCACCAAGTTCCATGTGACGATATCATAAATTTCGCCTTCCTAAACACCAAACGCCTTCCTGAATGTTCTGTTGATCCTTTGTACGTGTATTTTTTTGTATTTATTCTGTTTATAACAACACAATGATTTCCTTTAATCTTGGGACTTAATAAATTTATTTCTATTGGAAGAGAGACATTACCATAATGCAGGATACATTTCTTTATAATGCCTCACCTGTGAATGCTTTGATGCTCTACAAATGACTGAAATATTTCCTTCATTATAATCAGTCTACGGCATTTTTGGAAATTTTAGGTTTTAAAATTGTGCCCCCTCTGAAGTATCAAAGTTGAATCACTGATAATTGTTTTTTTTATTCAATGTATAGTCTTCAAGAAACCTATGAAGCCAAGCGAAATGCACATATGCAGCAATTACAACAGAAGGAAGATGAGATGAGACAATCTTTTGTTGTCAGAGTTAAAGAGAAGGAGGCAGAACTTAAACAAGCTGAAAAAGAAGTGAGTAGATAACAAAAATATGAGGATACTTAAACTTTGATAGTGTATGGATCGTATACATGAGGTGACAGTATTGTAGGTGCATTGACCTATGTCTTTGCTTGTAGCTTTCATGCAACAACCTTGTAATAATATTTGACAATAAGTCAAAAAAATTGACTATAAAAGCCTAGTGATTTTTACGTCACAGTTTTGTGTTGATAACCGTTGATTTGGCATAAGTCAAAAAAATTGACTATAAAAGCCTAGTGATTTTTACGTCACAGTTTCGTGTTAATAATCGTTGATTTGGCATGACAACCCCCAACTTTTTAATACTGCAGATTAAAACAATGATATCCTGAACCTGTTCATGTCACAAAATTGTTTCATTGTTGGAGAGTGTGACTTGTCACCTACAAAACACATCCATGTCCTGCTGTTTCTTAGATACAAGAAACTTTATGTCTGACTATAAAAGTTTTTTTATCATAAATCTGTAAGACTATGTTTGTCCAGATCTGCAATGAGTAGAACACGTTTGTGTTTGACTCGAACAGGCCAAGTAGGATTGATATTACAAATTAATATATTGAATGTTTGGTCACTAAATTGTTCTCCATAATTTCATGATTTTACAGTAGTACTTTTCATTCACCTGCATACATGTATTTTAAATAGTCATTGACAGTCAGCACATTTATTGCTAAACAGCATTTATCAATCACTGACTGCACATATTGTATAAAATCTTACTATCTTTTACACCTTAGTAACTTTGATGTTTTCTCCAGGACAAGTGAAGCTAAATATTAATTTTGTTAATGCATAAAATTGTTGCAATTAAGAAACTTTAATGCACATCTTGGTGTGGTCACTGAGCTCATTGTATGCAAATGATACGTTAACCTTTTCACCACCAGTTTTCCCTCTTTTCATCACAAATTCACAAATACCGGTAATTCTGTTTATAGTCTGCATTATCTTTCAAAAGATCGGGACAAAAATAACCTAATTTTTTAAGTAAAAACTAAAATTTGACTCAAATTATTTCCATTGGCTTCTAAATTGGGGTTCATTTCCAGAAATATTGAAGAATACAAGAAAAAAGTGCAGAAAAATTTGGGCGAGAAAGTCTGGTGGTGAAAAGGTTAATAAAAGGAACACGGATGATAATGCTGTCTTTCACATTTCTTCCACACACAGTTACACGAAAAATTTGACAGTCTCAAAAAACAGCACGCCGAGGAAAAGAGAAAACTGGAACATCAACAGAACAAATTGAAAGAGGAACAAGATAATTTTGTTAAAAGGAAAATGATATATGAGCAGGAAGTATTAATGGCCCAGCAAGCCGCACAGTCACAGACAATCAAGGGCAAGAAAAAGTAAATGAGTAGTTCTACCTACTTTCATGTAAGCAATGTATGCTACAATGCTCACTGCTAGTTCAAAACACTTACAACTATCAAGATAAATGCACTTTTGTATAAATCTGAAATATTTATCATGCTTCTTGGATAAAGCATGTCAAAAAATTCCTTGCATGTCTTTTTTTTCTTTTGAAATGAATTTGACTATTTATTATGTTCTAAATGATGAATTTATTGTAACCGGCTACAATTCATGCATGATTTCTATTTTTCACATACATCTGTGAAGGGATAAAACCTCTCGGTATTTCAAAGAGTTGCATTTATTGATGGTTGTTGTCTCCAATATTTTATGTTGTACACACATTTTATGTTGGGTGTTGGGTCAGTGCATGCTAACCTTATCTCACTGCCATTTGTTGTCTTCAGCATCTCAATCCTATTCATATTCAATGCATACCCGTGGATGGAATTAGCATGTCCCACTTGTTTGTAACTTTATATCAATTTGCATCTAGGTTATCTTATGAATGCAGTGGTGGGTTGATCGGGGTGGTGCGAAGTTTGAATTGTGCTCGTTATAGTAAAAATTTTGTTGGCATTAATGTTCATTTGCAGTTTTCTGTAATGTTTTTCTATTTTTTGTGGACATGTTATTTTTCTTTGTTTAAATATGCCATTTTTTGTTTGTATATTGCAATAAAGCACTAGTTCCCTAAACTTTAAACATTTTTTTTCCTGAAATATGCTTACTAATATAAATTAAGTAGTATTTGTATGGCAAGTCTGTGGTGTAATACTGCAATCTGCAAGAGTGTGGGGACCATTAACTAAATTAGATGCAGTATTCCCATGTCAAAACATTGCACGACAACTTATTTTATTCTGTAAATTAAAAAGACTGAAATGTTGTACCTAAAAAAAAAATACTCTAAAAACAATGAAGAGAATGAATGAGAATCTAGGTAATGACTGAACTTGTCAAGAAGAGAATAAAACTATGCTTCCTTATATCTTGCAGAGTTGATCAATTTAACACAAACTGACTGTATCAAATACTTTCTTTACATGCAAGGGAACGTTTTAATGCATGGTCAGAAAACAGTAAATAACTACTACGGCCATGCCATGTACATAACGATGTATTCTTAAAAAGTTAAAACTTTATTGTGCATGTTGAGTTCTTGGTGTGTGAATGGTTGGTCCTAATAGAATTCCTAATTACCCCCTGTTTCTACCTTTTCTGTACTCCAGTTGTGATTACCGTTATTATTTGTGGTGATCCAGAAAACCTCAGAGAATATCAGCAGTTAGCATCTGCAGCAGACAGTATTGTCTATGTTTTAACCCATTCACTGCCTTTGAATGGAATGACCCCCAATTACTATTTATGGGCTATCCCATCTGTTTGAAAATGGGGGTGAAAGGGTTAAGACTGGGTTTCACAGTAAATTACTGCACTATGTATTTGTGTGTGTAAATAGCTGCCATTCACATTTCATGCTAAGTATAATAACAATCATCTTCATCATAATTGACTTGCATATGTTCATTCTCATAGTGGTCTATGCTTCGGATGTGTTCTGTATGGTTTATGGAACGGTGTGTAGCCAACCGTTCAGAAGAGACTCAGCATTTGATGCAAGAATTTCAGAGGCACACATGAACACACCTTGAACCTTATCTACCTTTTAACTCATTGTAATTAAAATAATAACCATCAACTACTTGTACTTACCGTCATATAATCTACTTATACATCTTGTAGATCTTAGAAAAATGTACTTAAAAATTGTATGCACGCTTGATGCACACTACATTTCAGTTTTATACATTGGTTCACTAATGTTTATTATTATCACTGTTGATGAGCAAAATTGTGACTATCCCACTGAGCAAATTTATTGCAAATCTTAATAGTTACTGCATTTGCTCTATTAATAACACATATTCTCATTCAAATAACAGTCGTGTGTCTGTTTTTATGATCTTGTATACAATACATGCAACTGTTGGTTTTTGTATGCTTTTTATTTGTACTTCAAATAGAGCAAATGCAGTATGCTTACTACCCAAATTTTGGTAGTTACTGTATTTAGATCGATTTTTGTGTGGTAGTCATGGCAACTGTGGTGTACTCACAAAAAAAAAAGCAAGTCGTTCATTGTCATTCTTTCTTCCTGCATATGTAAGAAAATCTTAGTTGTCTTGGTTTGCCTATCGAGAAGACTAAAGTAGCTGGTTCATGTAGCAGTCTCATCGAAGACAAGTTTCTCAAATCAGAAAAGCAGCTGAGAAGTAGACTGAATTAATACGAATAGTGGCTTGTATCAGTTTTTGCTGTTATGTCATGCCTTATGTGAAAGCTTTCTCTGTAGGCTGGCTATTGAAGAACTACAGTGTACAGATAGTAGTACTTATTGCAGTCTTCCTGAGAAAATATTCTTTGACTTCTATCTTGGGAGATGTTTTGTGATGTGTGTTGCATAGCGCGTCAAGTTTCACTTTCTGTAGAACATTGCAATTGGGGATGAAATAATATTACTAACATCATCGTAAAAGTTGTTTACAATTAAATGCACATGTTGAAATTCTTCTGTTCTATCCCCTTCGCATCAACTACACACTGTTGACACTAAGTTTTCTTCTTGTCCAAATTATGTGACCAATCCTTTATACATACTAACACTTTCCCAAGTTTTGTTATTGAAAGTACATGACCAACCTTTATACACTTCAACTATAATTGTATTCATTTTGTGTGTTTGAACAGTGGTCCAATAACTTTGAAATCTCCAGTATATAGTGGAGAAATATACTATTATTGTATGTTTAATTAATGCAACTATTATAGCAAATAGTAGACAGAAAGTATTGTTTTTTTTTTTTAGAATACAACCAAGGACCATGTGCATTCTTTGGATTCAGAGATTGTGTTAACCCCTGGACCTCCATTATTATGGAGGAACTCAATTTCTGTACACTGTCCCATTTGTTATAAACAAATGCGTAGAATAAGACTCTACACAAAAGTTCTAACGCAGTCCCTGATTGCTGTGTAAACTTGTAGCAAACTGACAAATACGCTTTGCTGTCCTTGGTTGTATTTAGATCTGTAGAAAGCTTTATGTTTAAACTTTCTTAAAATACCTGTCTATGCAATGTTTTTTTACATGTGTATTTATAATAACTTAGGTTACATTTAATGACTAAAAATGTATAAAGCCCTAATTCCTGCTACAAGTATAATGGATTAAGTTCTCATAGACCATAGACCATATTCATAATTTAAGTGTATTGTGTAATGGTTTTGACCAAATTGGATCTTGATTGAACACAACTCTGCTTATCACAAAACATCTGTGCAACCTGAACTATCTATTTCATAATGCAACATTGTGAATTGCAATATGGTCTATGTACAGTAAACCTTAACTTTACTGTATGTTAACATTAAGGACTGTTATTCCTCAATAAGTTTGTATGAAATGTCTTTCTAAACCAAACTATGTTCAGTCTCTTCTGGCGTAAAGCATAGACAGATTTTATTATACCAAAATTCATATTTTGTTTCACAACATCACATATATCACAGCATTTTTTTTGTGCCATTTCAGTAAAGTTAACTCCACTTGTTACATTTCACATGCTGGATCCATTGCTTTAAAATGTCATGTTGTAATTGAAAAATCAATGCTTACTCCTCGATGAGTGGTTGCGATCAATGCTTGCCAAGCCTCGAAAATGACAAGTTAAAACAGCACTGATTCTAATTTCTGCCATTGCAGACAATCAATGTTAATAATTTGTAAATGATTCCCTCTAAGCAATTTTTGTACTGTGCAATTTTGCGGTTTTCACCAAGAAATTTTGTACCATGTAATGAAATTTGACTGCAACATGGTGATGTCACTGAGCTGTGCAAAAATGAGTTTAATGTTGAGAATGGAGTCAGGTGTAAAATTATAAAATGGTGCTCCATCAATGACCAATTTTAACTCGATCCTTGATTTTTTTGTGTCTGTGTGAATATGTTGTAGCCCATTTCCTTCAAACCTATTTCTATGCTGGGTTATTTGAAAATGTTCTTGTCCTTGTAATTTATGTGCAAAGGAGCAGCTAACCTGAAATCAATCTTTATTACAAAGCTGTGTACACAGATATTAATCCATAAGTTGTTGGGAACACCATTTAGTGCAAGGGACGTCAATGTGCTTTTATGTAAATGAGGTCTTTAAGTGTTGGCAGCTAATCATTCATAAAGGGGTTTGCGTGTGCGTATAAATGTATCAATAATTTTCTATAAATTACATACTATATTGCTGTTTCTACCTTATTTCTTACTCTGAAGTTATTTCAAATGTTACCGTATCACCTCTCTGACCTTCCCAGATCAGTACCAAGCATTACCACATTCTGCCAACCTGTCTAAATGCAATCTTTAGCCAGCCGCAGCCATGAGGTTCACAATTCTTGCATTCTTTTCAACTAACTCCATACATCTGGTAAACCAAGTGATAGCTCATAGATACTAATAGAAGTGTATTTGTTGTTGATAAATCTTTGGCAATCAAAGTTAATTTCAATGTACTTTACAAATGTACTTAACTTTGTATTTAGATTTGATGTGCGAGTTTATGACATGCGCCAGTGTGAATTTCAAGCAACTACAACTTGAAACACCCAAATTCTGTTTGAGTGACATTGTCACTACACAGAAGTAAAGGTAGAATGGCTTGTCTATCTTTAATGTCAATTTGGCTTGAAATTGGAAAAAAATTGGAAAAACATCTTTGTAGTGAAAGTATTACGTTAAACTATGAAAAAAAAAACTGGAAAGAAGATAACAAAATTTGTACATCTACTGGTGTTTCAGTTATCCCGACGTGTTGCTTTTTGTTTTTTTTCTTGTTTATTTATAGAGTGCCAGTGGAGAATACTTGCATGGAACTGGCCATTCCAGCACACCGTAGTAGACCGGTTACAAATCCTAAGAAATGTTTGGTTTCGTGATGAAAATACGTAACACTGATGAACATGAATGTGTCACGGTGATTATTGTGCTATATTACCCATGATGCCCTTTGTTTAGCTTTTATGTATAATTGCATACATGTCGGGTATACTTTGAAGGAACTGAGTACCCCCGTAAGAATAAGACAAACTTTTGTGGTTGCATAACTCAAATGCATGTATTTGCATCTATTCATCTAATTCAGTATTATTTGGCATGTATCAGTGCACTATTCATTTCTCTCATGCATGGCTAACGCGATTGTTTACAGGCTATGTTGTGCTAGAATTTTTGGGGGATATGGTTTTTACTTGGTGATAACATTTGAAGTAACGTCAGGGACTAAGAGATGGTGTAAAAACAGATTTGTAATGACCACAGGGTTACTGCAGAGTAGAACAGGGTTTTGACATGTGCAAGACTCACTTCTGTTTCAAAATTGCTGTTTGTGAAATTCAGTTAATGTTATGACTATTTAGCCTACTGACTGCCATCATTTCTGAACCCCATTTTTCGGTGCCATGGATGTCAGTTTTTTAAACTGAGTGCAGCTGAACCGACCTGTGTTTGATACAAGTCGTGTGCTTTTTGTACCCAGTCCCGATGATAGATGGACTGTGATGTACCTGTAAAATGCATTGTTGATACAAAATTTGACTACATGCTGCAATAACCATTATAGCAGATGCTTGACATTAAAACAAACCATCCATAGGTTTATTAAATGAACAGTTTTTGAATACAGTATTGTATCTTGCACATTGCCATCATTTGTATAAACTTCACTTTTACAGTTTAGTAATATTAGATTGTCCATGTGTGTATTGCTAGGTTCCACTGGTAGGGAAAGGAGGGACAGACTGACTGACTGACCGTGGTAATATCGGAAGAAAGTACCAGACAATAATTACGACGACAATGCAAACAGTACTACCCGAATTGAATCTCTTTCAAAGGTGCAACGTTTCACCCCTGTGTTGTAATGGTATGTCCCATAAGTTGTCCTTTGTTAGCATCATGGGGGTGAGAAAGATTTATTTCTATGATACATTTGTATTTAATTAGAGATGTTATTTTCTATTTGGTTGTCATTTGTGTGTCCATCACATTTTGACCCCATTCTAAAGTATATTTTGAGTACTGTGCAATGAATCTTGAGGATACAGTGTGAAGTTTGGAATCAGTGAGGAAATATACTTGTGCTAGTGTCTCTCCACTGTGACCTAGAATCGTTACTCTGATTACATATGCATGTTGTGGGAGTGACAGGGTTAGTACTAAACATAAATTGTGCATAATGTCTTTTACTTCACTCTTTTTTGAAAACTTTTTAAACCATCAAAATTAAGTACAAAACTCAAATTGATTTGGATTTCTTTATCTTCAGCATTAAATTATCTCTTCCATATATACATATTCAATTCAAATCGTTATTTTTGTACAACAATATTAGTGATAAGCATAAGTGTAATTTTATTTTACAGTAATGTTTTATTGTATTTGTACCATGCTTCAATTCTAGTGTTTATGACATTTAATATATTACATCTTAAAAATCTCATTATAATATACTGTTATAATAAGTCTGTTCAAATGAGTCCTACATTTTGAACCAAGCATTGTCAAGGAGGTAAAACATGAAAAAGTTGGTAAAAAAAATAAACAGGTTTTGTATCTCGTGTGCGATATGAGCAAATTCACATGCTAATCACCAAATACCATATCTCCATCTCCAATTAAGGAACATGTCAACTGAAAATTTTTTTGCTTGGATTTTCGGTCACATCAAATTTATACTGATCCTGTTAACTTTTCTTCATATCACATGTACTCTATTACAATAGAGCAAATACAGTGAAGGAATTAACTTTAATTTGAAGCTAAAAATGTTATGGGATAATTTGTCTAGACCACTACTTATATTCTTCTGATCACAACTGTGTTGAAGTTATAATCTCACTTGAATGTTATTAATTTTAAAGCTGCCATGTATTGTGTAATTCTGTTATCTGATAATCAAAAGTTTTTTTTGTTTTTTTTAACTGTGTAAAAAAATTTATTATATAGAATAATGTTTGAGATGTAGGCTGGTATTATAATATTGTTTTGTATTAATAAATATTGTTTTACTATTCATCTCAATGTCTTTTTGTTTGAGAATGATGTACATTGTATGTTATGAGAGAAATGCTTGTAATTTGTGAATGTCCATTGCCGAGATACTGAAAGACCCATTTTATTGTAGGTCTTCAAATTCGGACAATCTAATACCCATCTTCATACAAAGAACATGCAAAAAGTTTATAATTTCTGTTTTAATTAAACGGTTCTTTGTTTTGGAGATCCCCCGTTCGTACATTTCGTCTCGTTTTTGAAAAGAAACTTTGAAAAGTTTATATTTTCATTTAAGCTTGCATAAAGTGAGCACTTTTCTTATTCAATCACATGTCATCATAGCTTGATTATCTTGATTTAAAAGACAATTGGAAAGTGTTAGTTGATCAGTGTATAGAATTGCACGCTGTACACATTAACAATTTAAGATATACATCTAGGTCTGAAATTAACACTTGTTGAATGATGAAATTCCCATGATGCATTGCATATGAGGTAAACATTTTTTGGGAATGAACAAAGAAGTGATGCACAGCACAGCAAGAATTAAATGGACCCCCTGTTAGTATAAGTAGGCTGGAGTTTTAGGGTTGCAATGGACTGAAGTTAAATGTTTTCGCAAAATTCTCAATATGGCTGAACCAATCAACACACAAACCTTTAATTGAACCCAGTGAATCCACTTTCACAGTAACTGGATTAAATTTGGGAGTCGGAGAGTATAGCATGTGTGACTTTAAAGATAAGCCATGCATGGCACAGTCCCCGTTAGTTATCAAATTTAAGATGTATAGTTTTGTTTATAGTAATATAGCTGGAATATAACCATGACAGGAATATGATTTTTTAACATTAAAATGATTGACAGTTGTATCTGATCGTCAAACAAGTACATGTCCATATTGAGAGATATTGCTCTGGAACAGCATTAAAAAATCAGCCATTTTGATTACATGTATATATATAACGTATAACGAATATATAAAATTTAAATATAATAAGTCAGAGCATTTAAGAGATATGGCTCTAGAAGCCCAATCAAAATGGCCGCCAGTCAGGCATTTTGAATCCAATCTGAAAAATAAAAT